GCTCACTACAGTATATATATATATATTAATATAACTATATATATTTATTTCATTGAGAATATATATATATATAGACATAGATTATATAGAGCTTTGTGGGGCACAGTCCGCAGACCGATCCCAGAGAGAGGCGGCCGCAGCCACGGAGCCAGGTGCTGCTCTGGTGGTAACAGTCCGCAGACTGAACCGCTGCAGCCCCTCTGCGGCCGCAGCCGCAGAGACAGGTGCTGGGTTTCTGGCAACAGTCCGCAGACTGAGCCGCTGCTGCAGTCCGCAGACTGCCGCACCCTGCATGCGGCCGCAGCCGCAGAGGCAGGTGCCATCTCCGCAGAGATGGCAACAGTCCGCAGACTGAGGCGCTGCTGCAGTCCGCAGACTGCCGCACCCTGCATGCGGCCGCAGCCGCAGAGGCAGGTGCCATCTCCGCAGAGAATGGCAACAGTCCGCAGACTGAGCCGGTGCGGCAGTCCGCAGACTGCCGCACCCTGCATGCGGCCGCAGCCGCAGAGGCAGGTGCCATCTCCGCAGAGACCGCCGACACAGCGAAGATGCTTGGGTGTTTCGCCGCAGCAAGACACAGATATGAAGTCATAGTATTATATTATATAATATGTATGTATATGTATATTATCCTCGCTTTTGCTTGAAAGAATATATATATATATATGTATATGTATATAAGAGAGAGAGATCAAGGATCGAGAAGGTTTGAGCAACCGGCATGCCTGTGGGCAGCAAGGGCCAGTCCGCCCCCCCCTGGCACGTGAGCAGCCCCTGTCCAGGCCCTTGAGCAACAAGGGCTGCGATTTTTTTTTGTTTTGGACTGAGTGTGAGGGTGTATGTGTGTGTGTGTGTGTGTGTGCGTGTGTGCATGTGTGCGTGTATATCTGTGCGCAGGTGTGTGTGTGCGTGTGTGTGTGTGTATGTCTGTCTCTGTGTGTGTGTGTGTGTGTCTATATGCGTCTCTGTGTCTCTGTGTGTGTGTGTGTTTGTGTGTCTGTGTGTGTACGTCTCTGTGTGTAGGCCTGTGTGGGGCATGGGTGTGTCTCTGTGCTATATATATATATATATAGACAGGGCCTATATATATATAAACCCTGCATGACAAACCCCCGACAGGAGTAGAGGCTGGCTTTTGTCCGCAAAGACAGAAGTCAACATCTGTGTTTGCCAAGAAGGTACAAAACCTTGGCACCCGGATAGAGAAGTCTGATGATGAAAAGATCAGACCGCAAACTCAGCCTTAGCTTTGCGGTAGGCCCGGCGGCCAGCCTCAGTGGCAGACTCTTTGCTCTGGCCAGCAGCCAAGGCACGGTTTCGGGCAGCGTGGTATGCTCGGGAAACCACACAAGCAAAGCTCTGGGAAAGGGCTTGCTTCGTTGCCGCAGCAGGCTTCTTGCACGCAGCTGGCTTCTTCTTCGCCGCCAAGCGCGCAACCTTGGGTTTCCCCAGCGCCGTCGCAGCAGCAGGCCGGGCGAAAACCTTCGTCGCAGCGGCAGGACGGGCAAAGGTCTTGGCTTTCCGCAGCTTTGGGCTCTCCTGCGGTCCTTGGAAACTGTTGGCCAGTTCCAAAGCCTTGTCGCGCAAAGTGCAGGGCTTGGGCGGGGGGCTCTGCAGGAAGTCAGGGCAAGGCGGCACAGGTGGCTGCTCCTCTGCTGCAAGCGGTGGCAGCAGCGCCAACTGCTCTGACTGCTGTGTGGACGGAGCCGGTGGCGGCAGCGCCAGCTGCTGTGGCTGCTGTGTGGACGCCGCAGCCCTTTCGCGAGGCGGAGTCTGAAGTTCCAGACTTCTTTTACTTGTGCAACGACGTCCCGGGCTGAGGATCTGCAGACCAACGCCAGCGTCTGCTGCTTGAGTTTGGCGGCCACCGTGCATCATCAAAGAGACGAAGGGTGACAACGCAGCTTGCACAACCGCAGCGAGTTGGTTCCCCGACGGCAGCGCCCCGGAAAGAACACCCTGGGAAGACTGGGCCGTCTGTTCCGCCACAACACGGTTACTCTTGCGCAACGGCACACGAGCCGCAAGCTCGTCCAAGCTTCGCTGGGGAACAGGCCACTCAGCTTCCGGCAAGGGCGTCTCGTCTGGAACATAGGGCTTCGGCAACTCATCCATGTTTCCAGGGAGCTCCTGCACCCAAGGCTCCGGACCCTCTGAAGGCAACTTCGAGAGCCTGGAGTAGAGCTGCTTCCACAAGCGTTTCACGGCGAGGAAGTTCTGGTGCAGCTGAAAGGAGCTGCAGTCCCCGTTGCGAAAGGTCACAGCTGCAGTCAAGTAGGCCACTGTGAGCTCGCTGGGAAGACGAAGGCCCAAGCCAAAGAGAAACGTTCCCAGCTTCTCTACACAGTCTACCAAAGACGGTGTCGCTTGCAGGTAGCGCCACAGCGATCCCGGCATGTAACGGATGAAGCGGCGATAATCCTGAGGATTTCGCCGCTTGGACCCACTCTCCTGCTGCTGCGAGGCCATTGCAAAGACCAAGCTGTAAAACAGGAGCCGACAAAAAAGAACTGTACAGACTCTATATACAGATTCAATGAGAGTTGAACAGTTCGATTAAATATTATGTTTGAGCCAACCAAACATAGTGTATACACTACAGCCAAATACCCTTTGCAAGGAAGCCTCGTCTTAATTTCAGCTTTTTTCCCTTGCAAGCAGGATGTCCGGAGTGCAGAGATATCTACAGCTCGGACTCTGACTCATTCTGTGCAGAATAATTAAGGATGCTTCAGCTGTGGAACTTTCGGCCAAAGGCCTATGGCAGACCTCAGTCTGCAATCTCAATCTTCATCTTGCTGCTCCGCATGCTTCTGGAACCAAGCCTCGTCGAAAGCATGTCTCCTTAAAAGCTCCCAGCGAAGCTTCAAGCCCAGGTTCCTCGCAGGAGCCTGACGGCTGCTCATCAGGTACCGATAAGTAGCTATCAGTTTGCGGTCGCCAAACTTCTTCACCAGATGCTTCTGCACTTCGTGCGGATCCATAACCGGTGCCATGCTGAGGCTGACAAGGGAAACCACAAAAAATCCTGCGAGCCGAAGCTGCGGAGATGACACCAATCATACAAGAAAAGTATTTTCTAAGTCCATCGTAAGTCAAAGCTAAGTGCATTCTATGTATTTGGGACGCCACAACCCTAACTCACTTATAACCTCCAGCAAAGTCGCCTAACTAAGATATATGTGAGCGCAAACTTACAAAACTTATATGTAGCGTAACATATCTTATACTCTAGGTTGCCAAATTTATAACTTGGCTTGCATCCTAACTTACAAGTCCGCTAAGCAAAGCGGAGCTTCAGGAAGGGGTTTAGGGTTTAGGG